AGTCGATTTAGAACAAGATGAAAAAGTAGTCGATATTAAGGTACAAAAAAAGTTAATATTTTCTACTGTTCTGTTGGTAAAATCAAGGTTTCTGATGTGTTTTAGGAATTACTTGCTGATGAATATCTCCCCCCCCCCTTTGATATGAAGGTGAACATTTTCGAGAAGAAACACTTATAGAAAAATACTCCTTACATAAGGGAGGTACATCTCCCACCCCCCCTCTAATCCGACCTCAAAAACATGATAAAGTCATTTTGAAGTGAAAATTCATTTCTTTTTTCTTTCATAGGTAAAACACATGGATCATTAGCTCGAGCTGGTAAAGTTAAAGGTGAAACACCAAAAGTAAGTATCGATTTAAAGAGCTCGACTTTTCTAAAGATCAAAACAAAACTTAATTTTTGTTATATCGGTTTATCTTTGTTTTGATAAAAAAAGGTTGATAAACAAGAAAATTCAAAGAAAAAACTAACAGGTCGTGCTAAAAAACGTGTACAATATCAACAGCGTTTTAATAATGAAGTTGTATCTGTGGATGGACGCCGACGTGGACCAAATTCAAATCAATAAGCTTAGGAAACGTCCAAGTAGACGCAGAAGCAGTAGCACAAAAATGTACATCTTTATACGTTCTGTTATTTTATATAAGAAGAAAGCATTTTTTCTGTGATAAAACGATAATTTGTCACGTAAGAAAAACATTGAAATCTGCGTAACACATTTGCTTTGTTTCTTCGATCTTTTCAAGCATGTCATTGTACAAATTCAATGTTTTCTCAGCGGTCAAAGTTATTCTGAAATAATCGTTTTCTAGAATCTTTTTCTCATCTTTCCCTTCATTCTGCCAAGTTTCACATAAGAGGCAAATTGTCCCACCCAAACCAGATTCCATAGTTCCAGCCCTTCACACTACCTTCAGTAATTATACTTACTTCCTAAATCTTATTTCCATGTTTAAATGTGGTCTCAGAGCCTTACAGCGTTTTTCTGCTGATTGAAAAAAAATTTTCATAAAACAAAGTAAACTTTCATTCTCTTTTTCAGCAATGAGTGCAAGAGATCGGTACATGTATCTTTGTAAAGTCAAAGAATGTGCCTTTATCTCTTAAAGATTCATCTAGAAAAATACTTTGGACTAGCCAGGAGAAAAAAAAGTTATTCTTAAGTTCACGAACGCGTTGTGGAATTCCGAAAAACGCGTTTTTAAATAAATAGATTAAAAAAAACGTGTTTAAACGACGACAAAAGAGCGTTGGTCGTGAAATCTTTAACGCGTTTTTCTGTCAGTTTTTTTATCCCTGGCTAACGAATTCTCGAACAGCTCATTCTCGTGTCGACCTCCATATTTATTTTTAATTATTATTTCGTAGAGTTCAATTGGTCAAAATTACTAATTTTTTATAGAATTCTTTCTTTGTTATAGTCTATGAAAAACTGTATATTTCACGCTCTGTTTAAAAATATAGAAAGGAAATAATGTTATTTCCACCGCACGTCCTTAAGAACACCTCCCTTGCTTTTTGTCTTCTTGAGCTATCATGCAGCAAAGTCGAACATTCACAATTGGTTCGACTTACGAGGAAAGCCATGCTTGATGTCCATGCTGTTCTGACAGAGTCAACGACGAAGAACACTTGATTCATGCACAGTTCGCACTTTGTCATACGCGTCAACAACAAGCCCTCTATAGAAAAACGTAAAAGGTGTGAAGTGTGGAAACAATAACTAAATAATCAGAATCGATCGTAGAGATAGTGACGAGTAAATATTCAAACAAACAAAGCTATACCTCATTTACTTTCTATAAATGACTCATTCTTGTGTCTGTTATGTGAGAGTAGCGTAGAAAGATGTATTACGAAACCACTTCGACCGCGAAATCTTGAAACGGTATAATAGAAAACCTCTTCGCTTACTAAACCTTGATGAAGTTTCATGGATTCTTACTATACCTCACAAAGAAAAGATAAAGTTCCATCGAACCTCATAAATTTCATATTAAACCTTTTTTCCAGAATGTATAATGAATTAACTGTAATCTGTTCGTCTTTCCCATCAAGTATTTCTTCGTGCGTTGCCGTATGAATATTGAATGCTCTAGATATCCACGTTATAAGATGGATATACGGATTGTCGGATATATGGATTGTCGCTGTCGAAATTCTATTCGACAGAAATAATCTTTGAATGTACCAATGGGACCACTTGCTAGTCTGAGTATGTAAAAGAAACATAAGTAGAAATATTAAATTATATCCGACAAGTACTGTCTCAACTAGAGTTTTTCTTTGAGCTTACTTCAATACTTTCATTAAATTCACCAATCAAACCAGTTTAAAATGTCGTGTACAACTCAAAGGATCCGAACCGATTAATCTGGAAATTGCTGATCACTTCATCTGATCTAATTTCTCATCGAATAGTTGCG